GTCAAAGCATGCAAAATGTGTTTGACCAAAACCAGCATGCCCGTGCGTGTGTTCTTGCTTGGAACGGATTCACCAAACTTTTCACGGCTGTAACAATGCGGCCATATCTCCGGACCACCTCAGGCAGACGCATGGTGCCCCATGATTCGTGATAGAGTAATGAGTCCCCGCCTGTATCTCATCTTCATGTACGTCAGAAACGCCCAGCTATTCTAGTGATCCACAAACCAGCTTGTATCCACACGTAATCGCGTGCCTTCTAGGTCATATGATCATGAACATACGGGCTCTGAAGGCAGCCATTGTTATGAATCATCAATTTTGTTTTTAATTATTATTATTGGCATCCATTAAGTTTCAGCGTAAGGGCTTCTGTATAGCTTCTTTAAGCTTCTGCATACGCAACGTATAATCTTCTGCTTGTTTCCGCCTTTTCTTTCGATTTCGATGGTCGATCACCTGCACGTGAGGATGTCTCAAGAATTCCAGTTCAACATATGACGTCATTCGATAATTCGCTATAATCCCGAAAGCTGCGGGCGTCAGACTATGTGGACGGCCGTCTTCAAGCATCCTCTGCTCACTTTCGTTTTTTTCAAAATATTTCTCTGACGTTTCACGATACCTAGCGGTTTTTGTGACAGTGGTAAAGATGAATTATGTCACGTAAGAGGCGCGGAAACTATTGATATCATTGCGCGTGATATCACACTACTGACACGACAATGCTCGTTATGTAAAGTAACACTGATAGTGGTAAGAGGGAAACGAGATCATTCCAAAGCCGTAGTGCAGAATTTGTCCGTGTTGTTGCATGATGTATCCACTTCGAGAGCGCAAACACCAAGTGTCCATGTTCGTGGTCGGGACAACAGGTGTTTGTGTACAAGGAAACTGAAGGGATTTCTCCCCAGTTTAAAATATCAAACATTGTGTTTCTCTACTCATCCATGTCCATCTCCTCGTCCATGTTTATCTCTCATCCATCAGGTGGTTTAAGAATTACGTAGATGAACCGCAAGGGTGTATTTTCTGAAAAATTGTGATGAGGGTTCCAATTTGAATTTCAACTCTCTCCTCACTTGTGCTTCTAAATTCAAAAATGCAAAAGTGCCATGGAAATGTCATGACCCAGATGATGTTATGACCGTTTAAGCCCCGTCACTGGTGAAAGGAAGACAAGCAGAGGCGTAGATTCGCCAAATGTGTTACAGGCTGGACACTGAAAAATGACCCAGCCTGCCCTCCAGTTATGCCAATAAATGGTTTCTCCTCGGATTTCACCCACTTTATTTCCAAAGCTGGGGAAGATGAAGCCCAAGTTGGGAGGGGGCTTAAGCCCAAGCTGAGTGAAGCTGAAGTCCCCTCCCCCAACTGAGTGATAAACTACACCCCTGAGAACAAGATTGTGTACTAGACGACAGTGAAAATATATTTGATGTACATGTTATGTAAAGGTCAAACAAAAAATACATGAAATACGTTTGTGCCTAGCTCAATAGTTGCGATTTTATGCGGGTCCAAACTATTCTTCCACGACCCATCTTTCGCGTGGCGCAGTATCTAGCTCGGGTGGCACCTTATGTGTTTGTGCGGTTTTGAAACAAAGTACTATGAACTCATCGATATCCGGACAAGGAAACCAAAGTCCGGAACATGAGCTAGATGCCTTGAGAAAGGCGTGCTCTTTTATGATGTATTCGTTACTTTCTTTCCCGTATTGGAGGTAGTTTCATGTCAAGTAGCCGAAAATAACCCGTTTCATGCATGAAACTCTGCGAAGAAAAGAACGTTGATATTGGCGGCATTTTTATAATTCATGTTGCTCTTTTTGCATGTATCTGGGCTGCTTTTTCCAACCTATATGAGAAGTACGTGTGCAAAGACCGAGTTACGTGTAAACATCAAGGACACGACCTGAGCCTCTATTTAAATGTTACTCAACTCTGTGTACAAACCTGTTTGCTTCCTCTATAACGAAGCTCTTTGATTTCCCGGCGTGTTGTAACGCAACTTGTCCCCGGTTAGTTTGCATAGGTTCAAAATATTTTCTACGCCAGAAAGTTATTGAAGATAACAATATTTGAAAATCGACGGAAAACTACTTTCCAGGCAACTTGTCCTGTTCATCCATGTTTGGAAGATTACGCCATATCAACCATGGACAGTACAGCGACAAAGAAGCGCTTCTCGTAGCGTCTAGGATGTAAGTGTTCAGGATACGTCACCGTTCAAGTCATAACCAACTTCATTTGTTATATTGACGTCATTCTGGCTACTTGGCCGTACGAACACCAACAAAGTGGGTAAACAGCCACAGCTTTTCGACAAATGATTTCTGATTTGCCCTGTGTGGCGCCAGTGCTGACAAATTAGACATCATTGGATGCTTAATATGATATGAGCAATATGATATATGACTCCCAATATGAGTAAGATGTTGACACCAAGTTTGAAACGATTCATCAGTTGTATGAAAATTAGAATATCAAAACTAAACCATAGTTCCTTTTTCATTACAGGGTGTGGAAAACACGATCCTTGTAAAGATAATTTAATTTCAAAGCTTGGATCATATTTTGACTAAGTCAATGCGCACCTGTGACACATGGTTTATAAGCTGAGAAATTACCCTACCCCTCCGATTTTCCTGTGTGACTTTGGGACCACTCGCGAAAGTGCCGACAACTTTGTCTTGAAATCGGACAGATACTTTTGACAATTTGATGGAAGAGAACGTTTCAAGTCGGGTCTCGTCACGTGCTTGTGACGTCACCAGGAAAGGACCGCATGACGACTGGCGCGCTTTAAGAAAAAGAAGCTTACAAAGCAGAATGCGGAGTCTAGCAATGCGCCAAAATTCGCAGTGGTGTTAGTTCTTACAGTCGGCAAAGCGTGACATCTCTGCAAAGCTGTCGGCCAGTGGCCGGCACACCTTTGCGATTTCTAGCAATAAATAATACAAGTATTCACAAACGTGGCGATGCCGCACGACTTCGAAGGCGTCAATGACATGGCGGCGAGGCCTGTTCAAAATGGAAAGCCTTGGCCGAACGCCGGAGGCCTGCATCAGTCAGCATGTGACGGTAACGAACCTGTAGGTGGTCAATAAAAAGCTCTCGCAGCTTAAAAACCTCACTACTCATGATGTGAAAAGGAACTTAGGGTGTCGACATGTTTTTCTCAGGGCTCAAAAACACAAAATCTCAAATATGTTGGCTCCAAAATTCACGCACGCCTTGCAATCCCCAACAGACCACCGACCGCAGATCACGCGAGCACGAAATCTACACTTCTGCCGCCACCTAAAGTAGCTTGGGCTTTGTTTGGACGAGCCAAAGAAATTTGAAATGTCTGTTCACAAAGGCGTTTTTTTTTGGGGGGGGGGGTTGTTGGAAGCTCGCCAAAAAGCAGTTGACGTCAGGGGAAAAAGTGTGACGCGCCATACATTCAGAGTGGTGGTCCAAATGGGGTCGACATGGATTGCTCGTCGCGATGGTAGTCACGGCGATGGTTCAAATGTCCGCTTAAACCATCTTTAATATTCGGGCACACAAGATACTTGCGCTCGTAAACCACCGATACGTGCCTACAAAGATGACAAAAGCACGCTTAGCGCCACACATCCAAGCATGCAACCGAAATCCCTTGGATCCTCTTCTCTTGCCACTAATAAAAGCTTTACCTCCTGGTTTTTCGGCAGTATGAGGTCATTAAGTGCATCGCTATTTTTATTGAGTTCACTATGAGTTCTTATGCTGAGTTATTGACCTTCCACATACCAGGAGCGACGAGTTAAACGACATTATAGAACAAACATTGGTTACATAGCCAAAATTCAGCATTTCAACCTGTGCTTATGATTACGAGTCCCAAGGATTAGTGATCATGTCCACTCCTGACATTTTTGCTAGCTTGGCTTATGATCACAAGATCCAAGGACTCGCGATCATGAACGCAGCTTAAAACGTTAATCATTGGCAATACAACACATATATGTCTCATAACGTCGTTTGACCAGCTCTCCTGGCATACTGAAGGTTGATAAGTCAGCATAACATTTATGAACACATAACTCCTTTTCTCCAAGAGAAGACCCGGCTTGACTAGGTGGAAATGGGAGGAGGAAGTATACGCTGCGCAGCGGCAATGGCTGTCGAAAGGTAGGATACATTCAGCAAAGGCGTGGTGTACACAGATGCGCGCTTCAAAGCCTGGGGCTAATACGCGCGCTCGATGCGCTTAAAAAGCGTTTGGTTGAACAGATTACTACATTGGTTTATTGGGCCAAAGTCCAACGCCGATTGGGCTTGGGCCGAGCCCAGCTTGGGTTTACTTGGAGTAGTTCCAGCAGATTCCGGACACCCAAATGGTTAATCGGGTTTTCTTGGCCAAAACCCTCCACACCCCGTACCATGAACTGGACTCGGGTTCTCTCAGTCTGAACCCAACCTAAACCAAACACGTTCAATCCCGGCCAAACCAAAACCCAGCCAAACTGTTGGCTGGGACAAAGCTGGCAGAAAGCTTGCAAGCCTTGGTCAGCCTAACATACCAGGCCAGGAAGTGTCTGCGCAGTAGACCTCAGAAGTTGGTATTGAGATCGGATCGATCCTCGATTCCTGGGCCTTGGATCTTTCAAGATCCAGCACGAAGTTGGAAATGTTGTCAAATCATCTGCTGGCAGGTGGGATCCATCTATGAATTTTATGGAGACCTTCCAATAAATTGGAGCTTATTTAGAATTTTGTCAAAGTATCTCCTAGCATCTTAGAAATTCCTATGGTTTTGTGAAAGGATCTTTTGAGACCCAGAATATTTCTATCACGCCATATTTCCTCTGACAAGTAAGTACGCCATTTCGCTGCAGGTCTTGATCAGGCACACGCAGCCACCGGTCGGGTACCTGGGGGTCTCTGGCGTCCCACGGCCGTTCAACTCCACAGCGTGGCGGGTGCTGGGGCGTCGCGGTTGGTTTACCACACGGGGCTGCCGCGAATGCTTGACCTCCAACCGACCGGCACCTTTCGGCTGAGCTGAAATGATGCAGATACAGGTCGGCTCCCTGACAGTGTGCTGTTTGTTACTCACACGTGACCCCTGCCAGTCAGAGGTCAGTGACCTCTGTCCTGGCACTGGTCATGGCAGTGGCAGGGTCAAATCAGAGAACGCATGATCATCCACATAACAGCAACCTCAATTGTAAAGAACCTCCAAAATGGTGAAGGCTTGTCAGGAATCTAAGCGTTGTTCACGTTTTACATGTGTCGCCATTGTTCCATCAGTACGCATGCACGTTTCAACAAGAACACCTCGGTGGACCGTATGACTGAAGAATAATAAAGTATCAGCCAACCAGAAGAAATCATTACTAACCTGCTCCAGAGTGCTTCTTGATGTTTATGTTCTTTATCTTCAGTCCGGCCTTCGGTTTTTGTTTGCTCTTCTGTCGACTCACAAGAGAAGCAATGTGAGCAACGCTTTGGTCCGGTACGTGTTCCACCAGCGTTTCCGTTCCATCTTTGGTCAACTGCGGGCCAGATAATTGGAGGTAGTCAGCACCAAAACCGCATGCAGCTGCCCAATATGACTGAAAATGTAATGCTTCTTTTAATGTCAGAATTATCCAACGTGTGCGTTCACTATCAACATATTCATTGTTCCTCACCCAAACCAAATTTTTGTCATGCAGCTAACCTAGAAAAGTGCTTATAAAATATAGCAACACAAAATCAGAGACCCAAAAAGGCAATCACACCAAGCAATAGATTGTCTCTGGATGATTCACTATTAAAGGGCCTGTTCCTCATTTGTTCCTCATTTTGTCATGCAGCTAACCTAGAAAAGTGCTTATAAAATATAGCAACACAAAATCAGAGACCCAAAAAAGCAATCACACTAAGCAATAGATTGTCTCTGGATGATTCACTATTAAAAGGCCTGTTCCTCATTTGTTCCTCATTGGTTTTCAGCTGACGTAGCTTTGAGACCTAAACCTCTCTAGTTGCTGAGCCATAAGCCTGCAGACATGTATAGACTATTCTGTGTAGACTTTTTCAAGGTCTATCAGGCATTCATGATGCCACAATAACATCATTCAAATCCTGTCATTCAATGGCCATGCGGCGATCTAGGCCAAGAAAAAATAATTGTCGCATCGTTCATATCTGGCCCTCGTGAGCACCACTTCCAGATGTAACGGCCGTCCTTTGGCTCTCAATCAACATTGTACAAGGTACGATGACGCGATCAAAGAGTGACGTATTGAGGAGCATCTGTACCAAATAGAGAAGTGATGTTGTCTGGAGCAGTCTTTTCCACTTAAAGTTATACGAACACTTATAAGCGAGTGCTTTCATCATATCCGATGCTCGCTTTCATATCTTCAAAAAAGGAACATTCCCTTTCAGGCAACCGCATCACATCGTAAGGACACATAACGATAAGTAAATAGCATGATAAGCTGTGGGCAAGTTCATCGAACAAATGACAATCAGTTCTAGTACCGGACTTTTGGCCAATCATGCAATAGCATTGCATTCGGATAGGACTAAATGTTGTATGAAGTCGATGTGATCTAGATCTGACTCTTGTCTCCACGTTTAGTGGCAAATACGCGCAAACACACCAGTTCGATGGCGCGCACGCGCAATACACGCAAACACTAGAAAACACAGATGGCGGAAAATGGGTTCAACCCTGATGAGTTGCAAACGGATATATGTTGTTTTTTACAGAGACAGAGGTAGAGGCAGAGGCAGCAAGGCAGCGAGGTCATGCAGCGAGCTCGTGCAATGCACAGTCGGCTTAGACAGTTCTTTTCCAATACTTCCCGTTGTCGTTTCGTGATGTATTAATTAATTCGTAATTATGTGTATATATATATATATATACATATATATATCATTTTCCTTTCGGGGACAACTTTCCTACTTTATCCAGTGAGTAAATATTTGGCATTTGTAAAGAACAGTCAAACAGATATCTCTGACCGAACGGCACCAGTCCTGGAAGCTCAGTTAGCTGGAACGCTTGCCTTGGGATTCATCCACCGTAGTGGGGCGGGTTCGCGTCGCTTTAAGTACTCGCTATTTGACCCCAATTGGGATGGCCTGCGGCCGCCAGCAGCGGCTGCCTGAATACCACGCGCTCGGGCGGGCGTCAGTTTTTCCCCTTGGGATATCAAAAACTAAGAGAGTTAGAGATACCAACTTCATAGGCCGCCTTGGCCTGTGTGAGCTCACTTGTGCCAAAATCGGAGACTCCTAGGCCCTCACCTTCGGGTCACATGAGGTCAAACAGGATCAAACTCTAGATTAATGCCCAAAGTGACCCCGACCTTCTCATCCAACCGCTTTGGACCTAGGTACCTGCCCTAAGCAAAAGGTCAATGGTTTCCATTTTTCAGCGACTTTGTTTGACATTTAGAAGGGCATGGTAACCAAAAACCTACAATATTGCTTCGATTTTCGAATCTGAATATGCAAAAAAGATTGCGCTATGCAACATACTCTAAAAAACAAGAGGTCGGCTTGGGTCATTTCAGGTCAGTGACATACTATGACCTTTAAATAGTCTATGGAAGATGTCTACTGCGGTCCCTGTAATCAAGGAATCCGGAATGAGCATCAGAAACTACCCCAGAAGGCACCCTCGCCAGTAAAAAGGTAGGTTGGTTCTGACCCCGGAGTGACCTTCATGCCAGACCCAACGCCAATCAAGTTTTTCGTTGACTAATTCAATTGCCTGTTATCTGAGAAACCATGCCAGTGATGCATGACCTCATTTAACACTCCATTGTCGGATCAGATTGAACGATTCCCTTGAAAATGTCATCACTGATAGCCACGGCCTGACTTTGACCTGTCATAGGTCAACGCCTCACAGGGTACATCTAATTTTGCGTACCAAAAGATCCGTTGTTCCATTGCCTACAACTATACAACGTTTGGCGGTGCTACGCCCCCGTCCATCGCAAATTACTCTGCAAAAACTTCGGAGGAATCAAACTGACCAACCACCCGAGCGCGTGTTAAGCTTTCACTGCAACATTCTGCCGTGGAAACGAAATTCTTCGATCAAATGGTGAGGCTAGGGCTCACAAAACAAACGCTGCCCGGCGCGGCATCCCAGAAATCGATTTGAAGGAACCCAGAAATCCAATCCAGGAGAGAACGCCTCGCTGAAATGCAAGAGAAAGCCGTGAAAGGGCTGGTCATTGCGGGGATGACCTCATCCTCCACATCTTGCAAAGCCTGAAGCTTCTGCCATATCAGACCACTGATATCGACATGCCAGCACAGTTCCCTGTCGTTATCGAACTTGAGAGGACCAATGGTCACGGTCTCTGCAGGAGACCGTGACAATCTTTGCGGTCACTTATCGTGCAATCATGCAGTTTTTAAACGCATGCGAACTAGCACAACTGGTTCACATGTCCGGCAACAATGCCAGGTCATTTGAACGGATGCTATCTTACACGGCGCACTTTTCTTGCGACCTTGCAATGTAACCAAATTGAAAGAAGCCCATGCGGAATGCTATCTCCTAACGCAACTATTTCCAACAGCCGCTACAGGCATGAAGTGTTTTCATTCTGATCCCCATGCACAAAAGTATGACATTGGTTACATAACTGGGATCTCTAATCCGTTCATGAGCAGTGGGTGGTTTTGTGTTTTCTCCTCATGCAGCATAGCTACAAGCACCGTGACATTCGAAGCCAATCCAGAGGACCACGTGCAGAAATAAGAACGGCGGAAAGCAGCATGATAGAGCTAGCGGAACAATGGGACTCGCAATTCACGCGTCTACTGTCCACGACAACCAAGATCATGCCAGATCGCCGTTCATGTCTTTGCTACGAGCTGCTGTAAATAATGCAGTATTTCTTACTATAGGATTAACTTCACAGGCATTCTGCACCGCTTCTTACAAACGTCACACCGCGTAACATGGTTCATCTAACGCGCTGGCACATGAGGTCGCAAGGCAAGCAAGCCCGTTCACAGATGTGTTTGGCTGGGTGCTGTGGACGTGCGCACGTTCAGTATCATGTTCTGACTGCGATAGGACCTCCACAGCGCGATGTAAGTTGTGTGACGTCAAGCACTTCACGGCAAGATTCTCATGGCGCGGGTGGTCAACAGCCAGAAGCATTAGTTTGAGGGCCTCAGCCATCGCTGCTGAAAACAAGCTATGATAAGCGCTTCGCCTCGCCACTCCGACCCGCCCAGTCACCCCTCAGGTGTCTCTCAGTGCCGGCCCGCCCAGTCATCCCTCGGGTATCTGCCGGCCCGCCCAGTCATCCCTCGGGTATCTCTCAGTGCCGGCCCGCCCAGTCACCCCTCAGGTGTCTCTCAGTGCCGGCCCGCCCAGTCATCCCTCGGGTATCTGCCGGCCCGCCCAGTCATCCCTCGGGTATCTCTCAGTGCCGGCCCGCCCAGTCACCCCTCAGGTGTCTCTCAGTGCCGGCCCCGCCCAGTCATCCCTCGGGGTATCTGCCGGCCCGCCCAGTCACCTCTCAGGTATCTCTCAGTGCCGGCCCGCCCAGTCATCACTCAGGTGTCTCTCAGTGCCGGCCCGCCCAGTCATCCCTCAGGTGTCTCTCAGTGCCGGCCCGCCCAGTCATCCCTCGGGTATCTGCCGGCCCGCCCAGTCATCCCTCGGGTATCTCTCAGTGCCGGCCCGCCCAGCCATCCCTCGGGTATCTCTCAGTGCCGGCCTGCCCAGTCATCCCTCAGGTATCTCTCAGTGCCGGCCGCCCAGTCACCTCTCAGGTGTCCTCTCAGTGCCGGCCCGCCCAGTCATCTCTCAGGTGTCTCTCAGTGCCGGCCCGCCCCAGGTCTCATCCCTCTCAGTGCCGGCCGCCAGTCATCCCTCAGGTGTCTCTCAGTGCCGGCCCGCCCAGTCATCCCTCAGGTGTCTCTCAGTGCCGGCCCGCCCAGTCATCCCTCGGGTATCTCTCAGTGCCGGCCTGCCCAGTCATCTCTCGGGTATCTCTCAGTGCCGGCCCGCCCAGTCATCCCTCAGGTGTCTCTCAGTGCCGGCCCGCCCAGTCACCCCTCAGACATCTCTCAGTGCCGGCCCGCCCAGTCATCCCTCGGGTATCTCTCAGTGCCGGCCCGCCCAGTCATCCCTCGGGTATCTCTCAGTGCCGGCCCGCCCAGCCATCCCTCGGGTATCTGCCGGCCCGCCCAGTCATCCCTCAGGTATCTCTCAGTGCCGGCCTGCCCAGTCATCTCTCAGGTGTCTCTCAGCGTGTCAGTCCCGCCCAGTCCCGCCCAGCTCAGGTGTCTCTCCGTGCGTCGGTTCTAAGCAAGGAGACTGCTTGCGCTTCTATCGGAGATCCACACACAACACAGATACAGATGTAATGTATAGATATACAGATACAATACGGACTCAGATAAAAAAAATAGATATGCGTACACCATAAAGTTAGAGAGCATAGCGCTGACAGAGCAGCTCTGCATGTATCCGTTCCAGCCTATCGCATCCTAGCGAGGAGACCGCGTCGGCCCCCGGAGAAATGACAAGGTTACACCCACCCCATGAGGAAACGGCTTCATCTTACCCGCACTGTATATCCGGGTATGGAACGAGGAAGAGAAACAGAGATCCCCAGCGTTTGGAAGCCACGCTTCTGGAACGGTATTGGCCGATCCAACCAGGTCCTTCGAAATCCCCTGAAAGTTTGCGGGATCGGCTTAGGCCTCTGTGATACGAGTGTGTAAAGCGAAAAAGTCTGGGGGCAAATAAACGTACTGTACGCATGTTGCGAACTCCTCTCGGGGTGTCGCCATTCGAGAACGGTGTTGGATCAGTGATAATGCACTTGGGCCACAGGGGTTGGTGATATAGTTTGCGTTGCGTTGCGTGCTGCTGAAACACTCTCAAGTGTCAAGGATGTGAAATGTGCACAGGTGCGGCGCACAACAGTAACTTTCGCCGAAACCATGTAAAGACACCACATGGCCTCACCTGGCATAGTCACCCATTTGGAAACCATCGTCGCCGTCTTGCACACAGCACACGACCTCATCGCTCTATTTTTCTAGGATACGGGAACTGGCGTCCCTAAAAGCAGCTACATAGTCCGACAAACTGTCAGATAATAAGAACATGACTGAACCACTGAGCTTCTTTCCGGCTCAGGGCCCCGTAGTGCCATGGCCGGCGTTACAGCGCCGTTACACCACGGCACCCCGTTACAACACCGTTACGCCACGGTGTCCCGTAACAACGCCGTTACACCACGGTGTCCCGTTACAACGCCGTTACGCCACCGCATCCCGTTACAACACCGTTACACCACGGCACCCCGTTATAACACAGTTACACCACGGCACCCCGTTATAACGCCGTTACACCAGTGTCCCGTTATAACGCCGTTACGCCCCGGCGTCTCGTTACAACGCCGTTACACCACGGCACCCCGTTATAACACGTTACACCACGGTGTCCCGTTACAACGTCGTTACACCACGGCGTCCCGTTACAACACCGTTACACCACGGCGTCCCGTTACAACGCTGTTACACCACGGCACCCCGTTACGACAGTGCCAACTTACTGCCAAGCCTTAGTACAACTAGTGTGCACTAACAGCCCGAAGCGCCCATGAAGAGAACGACAGATGTTACAGAGACTGGGGGCGGATGCCGGCATTGCCGCCACAGGAGCGTTACGTCACACTTAGCAGATAAGGATACACAGCGTCACCCGCCTCTCACGTCAGCAGGAGGGACGGCCACAGGAGCATGACGTCACACTTAGCAGGTAAGGACACACAGCGTCACCCGCCTCTCACGTCAGCAGGAGGGACGGGCATCACTTGGAGGCGAACTCCGTGCCTCTGGTCTCACAAAGGCATAGCTTGACCATTGCACTACCCACATCTTCTCAGGAGTAAGTACTGTGACTTTACGCACGAGAGCTTTAAACTATGACACGAGCTATAAAACAATTATCTGGGGGCATGAGCGCAAAGTGTGCAGTTGTCAAACGTGCCTGCCATCATAACTGGTTCTTTACAAAACGAGTCTAGTTGCAATATAAGCAACGAAGAGTGGTAATGATAATAGGGCTATCGTACAGTGCGGATAATAGTAACCGTAATAATAGCAATAGCACTTGCAAACGCTTATGGTTATCATAACAATAGTACCAGTAAATAGTAAAAGTAACAATAATAAAGGTAATATTAATAGTACTAATACCTAGCAAAAAAAATCAACAGACGCAGCTTTCTGCATGACGTGAAATGATCGAGAAATAAAGATTAAGTTATGCCTTGTAAAATAACATTTGACTCAAACCTACAGGTTTGTTTAATTCGTCAATCAGGACATTGCACATGTTGTACTTCTCTCAACTACACTTGCATATATGGCATCGCCTAAGTACACGCATTTGCCACAAGCGGCGGTCCATAAATCACATCACGCATGCAGAAAGGGAGGGAAGGTCTTGATGGAGCGTAACGGAAGCGCGGCAAGAGAGGGAGGAGGTTTTGCGCAGGGTAACGTTATGGTCATGTGTGGCTGTGTCATCCTAGACTTGAAAATAGCAACAACAAAATGCGCAACGACATTCATGGACGGCTCCTAATTTTCTTTTCGCTAGCTTCGATCACGGCGTGCCGGCGGTGCAAATGGGTTTTATCACCAGAGGGGTGTTTTGAGCCAGCAGGTCGTCAACCTGTACTCCCAAGAACATCAACAGGTGTTTAGCCTTAATGGCACTAGTACAACTCTATCTATGCACGGCGTGTCTCATCGGGACCCGAACACGGCCAGGCTGTCGGCCTCTCAAACTGCTCTGATAGACAACACTGTAAGCCTCATGCCTCCAGTGTGTGATGTCATCCAGTGACGTCACTCGTGGTGTGTGCCTCTATTCGGCAATCGGCAAGAGAACGGGTACGTTGACGTGCCGCGGGGGCGTGCCCAGCAGAGAGTAATTTGTCGTCCTTGCATGGCATGATGCGCATTTTTCCTATGTCGCACCTCATCTGATCATTTTTAGTGGAGCCATTCTGCGAATGTAGGCACGACCACTGCGTCATTCGCGTGCAGTGTTTCAGCATCACCTAGGAAGTGTCGTTTTAACGCAGCTCTTCAGGGCCGTTTGTATTCAAGAGGTTATCTGATGCATGACCATGTTCACTCACCACTTCGTACTTGTATCATCCTTCCTTCATCACTGGTTCGCATTATTCGACAATGCCCAAAATCGTCTTTTTACAAATTGCACAGTAAAGTTTTCAACGTTCCTCACCTTTGCATCCGAAAATTTCACAACATGCGCCATTTTGGTTTGACACAAGCTCGAACCATTCTGAAGGTAGCTGTGTAAAAATACATGTGAACGCGCCCCCACTTCCAAAGCGGTGCACAACACCGCAAGTCCTCCGACGGGATACCACTCCAGCTGGTCTCGCCAATCCTATTCTTAGGGATTATTCCTTGGCGCATTTCTAGTTCGCAACCCCTATTTGACATACTGACTAACTTCTGGCTAGCAATGACATCATTTCATGCTTTTGCCAATATCACACCACGCTAATGACGATACAACTAGAGAAGAAAGGTGACGTATACTCACTGGCGAGTTGTCTCAATGTCAGGCCTCGTTTCGTGGAGACAAGACAGGACCTGAGGAGCTTCTTCGTGTCCTCGCTCGCCATCAGCCTGTCCTCTCAGCCAGCCCGCGGCTTCTCTTCACGGCCTGCCGATGCCACGGCGGCTTCACCTGGTAACAGGAGCCAAGTTTTGACAACTGCCGCTGTCGGTGACTGTTCTACTGTTGCGCTGTGAAACACGCGTATCAGCAAAGCACGTGAAAGCTGCGGGTTTGACCAGGGGGAAGCGCCACAAGTTTAACTGACCGGTAGTCAAAAACTTTGAATATCCATCACACACCATTTAATTTCTGAAACATCTCATGTAATTCATTTGGAAATATTTTGATTTATTATTTTCTATCCTGGGGTTAATAAATAGCGATGATCTATACCTCGTATTCCTTTTTTACAGAAACCACGGTTTTGGAGAAGCTGGTGGTTGCAATTTATTTGCATATAATTCTACGGCGCCAACCCAACGAAAGACTTAAAAGGCAAAGATATATAAATGTTGAGGAAAATCAGAACTGGTCCAAAGGTGCCCAATGCTGACTTTTTGAGATATATTACAAATCTTTGCATGAAACGTATACACTCTGAACTTTTTGCCAGTTCTACAGTATGCACATTTCACAAAAACATCGGCCTTTCCTGTGTTTTGCCTGCACCGAACCT